TATTGCAGATATTGGGATTCCTTCCAGTGGATGCTTAGTTTATTTTGTCATTCTGATCGGATTTTCTCTACTGTTCCGTTTTAATTTTAAATAGTTTTGCATTATGTGGCCGTTTGCTGTTTTATGGGTTTTCCCCATTTGCCTTTTTAAATTTTTATATATTATTAAAGAATCTCTATTGAGATCCAGCGGGCCGCCACTGATGCACGGTAGAGATTGCATCTTTAGATCTCCGATCTTGTTCACAAATTCACGGACTAGTGCTGTCTCGTAAGAATTTCGTAGGACGCGTTAAGAATGACAAAATATTCTCTGTATCTACTGGAACCGAGCCACATAGCTGGTATTCCATTATTTTGTCATTCTGATCGGATTTTCTTACTGTTCCGTTTTAATTTTATATTTAGTTTACTTTGTCATTCTGATCGGATTTTCTCTACTGTTCCGATCAGAATGACAAAATAAACTAAGCATCCACTGGAAGGAATCCCAATATCTGCAGACGGATCCGTTTCGGCCTTCCAGGCCTCATCAGTGCAGCTAGGGTATAGACCCAAACGAAACGTTCGACCAGCTTAGGTACAGACCAAACTAGTCCCACGACCACTAATGATTACAGAGCCAACCAAAGGCAATATATATACACAGCCCAGGTGTGAATGCAAATAGTGGAATACCAAGCTATGTGGCTCGGTTCCAGTAGATACAGAGAATATTTTGTCATTCTTAACGCGTCCTACGAAATTCTTACGAGACGGTAGAGATTGCATCTTTAGATCTCCGATCTTGTTTACAAATTCACGGACTAGTACTGTTATTTATATTTATTTATAAATAAATGACAGAGGTTGACATGTGACAGAACATAAAATATATATTATTTAATTGAATAACGTATATTTCGGCCTGTCCTCAGGACATCTTCAGCATTTTTGTAAATTTCTTTAATACCGGAAATTAGATTATTGATATGGTTTCCTAAAGTTGTAGACATGGGTGAAGTAATCCAACTGTGCCCTATTATTACTGGTCTTCCATTTAAGATATTTTCTGTATTAGGAGAAGGTTTATTTTTTTAATTTATGGGGCTTAGGAAGGATGTCCAGAGACGGAATTTTGATTTTTGTGTTTCTATCCACTTACGATCGTATTAATGTTTTTACTCCTATGCATAATTATCGCAATTTAATTGTCTTTGGTACTCATTATAATACCAATTAGTGGAATCAATACATAGTAGTAAAATTATGGTATTAGTAATGGTATTAACTTTCTCTCCCTTGATGTCTGCATTTTCCTTCTCTATGTTTTGGAAAGAAAGGTTTTGTACGGCCGCTTGAGTTTTGCACTGCTGACTCTGTGTTTTGCACTGCTGACTCTGAGTTTTGCACTGCTGACTCTGTGTTTTGCACTGCTAACTGTGTTTTGAACTGATGACTCTGTGTTTTGCACTACTGACTGTGTTTTGCACTGCTGACTCTGAGTTTTACACTGCTGACTCGGTGTTTTGCAAGTCTGCTGTCACTAGTACTTTGTCCTTTTGGCGTTCCATACAGTTTCGAAGTACGAGCGCGCTACTACTGCTGATCATGTGCAGTGCACGCGGCCGCAGATACGATACGCTGTTAAAAAAAAAATACGCAGACCCATAATTTGGACAGAAAGATCTTGATGGAAAGAGTACCACAGTCGTGTCGTCACAACACCAGGTGGCGCCCTCTTGACGTTGGCTGCAGAGCCGTAGATAGAGCATAGAGATATAATAAGAATACTAGAGCGCTAACAGCAATGTATTCGATGTTCGAAATACGCAGAGCTGTGTGTGTTTACCATACAAGATGGCTGCCATAGATTCAGCCAATCAAATTTCGCCTGAGCACTATCATTTTCAATGGCGCCCTCAATTTACACAGAAAGTTCAGTACAGCTAGTTACTACACATCT